AGCATCCCTTGATTACATTAAACCCACCTGGATAATCCAGGGTAATCTCCTCATGTGAAGAGCGTTAATTTAGTCACACCTACAAAGTCCCTTTTGGCATATAAAGTAACATATTCACAGGTTCTGGGGGTTAGGACATGGACAACCATTCTGCCTACCACAAAAAGTATCTAAAGAGAATTCTTAGCTAGATACATGAAAGGTTGGGACCTAGAGTTGCAGAGAAATGGCTCTTCCAGGTGCCTCAAGACTTTGCATCTATCCATACGGACCACGCAGGAAAAGGCTTGCCTATGTTGGCAGAACACCCTGTGATCTTCCCAGAACATGAGAGGATGGGAGGCCTGTAAGGAGCTGCTAGGGGGCCATCTCCCACTTGCCTCCCCTGGGAGGCTGTCATGAGACAGTTTCTCATTGCCTCCTGGATTCTGATAAGACAAGGGGTCCTGCCTTGCTCTCTTAAGAATAGAACTGCAGAATTTAAAAGTGCTTAGCTGCAGTCTAGATTTAGCTCCCCAGCAATGGTGAAGAGGAAATGGTCACAAAGTAAGGGTTGAAGTCGGTGGTCATTTGTGGCTGGCAGTTGGGGATCTGATTGTCCCTGGGGTATCGCCCAAATGGTTTTATCTAGTCCAAGGTGATTGTTCCACTTCCTGGGTATTGGGAGCAGGTTCAAGTTTGTTTTACAGAATGTTTAGTGGAGCAAAGTTTGTGGGTGGTAAGTGAAGATGTCTCTCTCTTCTGAGAAACTTTCACTGAATAGAACATGTTTGCCAAATCTATAACTTTGTACTGTTCACCCATGTTATTTTGCATGTGGTCCTTTAAGGCAATGATATTTGGTAGGGATGCTCTAATAAAGGGTACAGTCTTGTTTAACTCTCTATATTCTATAATCAGCCTCCATTTATGTGTAGTGGTTTTAAGCACAGGCCATACCACGGAACTTAAAGGTGAGATAGTAGGAATTAGGTCCCCTTTTTTCGCTAAGTGAGCTAGGATAGGCTGTAATTCTTCGGGTCTTTCCTTAGCTAGTACTGTGGCATATTGACCACCCACATATTGACCACAGGGGAAAGTTGACTGGTCCCCACCAGGTGGCGCTCACCAATAGCAAAAGCTTTAGGCTTTTCATGAGGTTGACTGAGGAGGCCCATTCCAACAATGGGAAAATGGATTGTCTGGGAGGAACAACAAGGACAGAAGCATCTTTTAGCAAAAGTGGGCCAATTTTAATAGTTACGCAGGTAATTGCCCTTGTAATTCATTCCCCTCCTAAGTCATTCACTTCCTGGGGTGTGGAGGGGGGTGCTTCCTGGGTTAGCTCCTTAAGGAAGGGCTTGAGCTCTGGGCTGCAGAGATGGTGCATACTTCCTTCTCCAAGAGAGAATCAGCCCTTCTTCTTTTTTTCCTTTTTTGTCTTTTATTTTTGGATGGTCACTGGCAAAGTGGAGGATAAAATCTCTCAGTTCCTATTTTAGTGACACCATGTTTTTTGTGTGTCCCTCTCTAGCCCCCGTCTCTGGTGGGCACCAGTCCTTTTTTCCAGGATCCTCCCCTCTGTCATGTCTCATCTCCTCCAGGAGTTTAGGCTCCCACTTCCTCTCTGGGTAGCATCCTGGTGAGAAAGTGCCTTATGCAGGGTCCAACACCCATCCTGTGATTTGGAGCCAGCTCCTTTGGACTCCTGGGAGGGGCAGGGATATAAACTTCCTTGGCTTTAGTTACTTTAAGTAATGTTTTAGCTGGCTCAGCCCAGGAGTTGGGGGTCTCAATATCCCTCTGGGGAAGGGCTAGAATGACGCTGTCCTTGACAGTGGATCTGAGTGAGACTACATTAAAAAGAAGCATGCTAGCTGTGGACAAAGGCCCCTCCCCTGACTGTCCTTAGGAGACCAGCCTTGGTCTGTCATCTCTGCCTTATGGGCTTGTCAACCTTCCATAGCAGTCCCAAGGGATGAGGACATCCTCTTGTTTCAGAGTACGCCAAATCAGCAGCTTAACCACGAAGACCTCCTCTTGCTACAGCACGTGATGCAGTCAGGGGCAGCCCACCCTTGGTCCCGAGGTGTGCACTCCTTCCCCTTTTCTTCTTTAGGTCCATAAGTCTTACAAGATCCAGCACCTGCCTAGTGGGGGACCCAGGTAGGTGGGCTGACCTCCTTCTCTAGGCAGCTCAGTGCCTCTGACCCCAAAAGTCAGTTCCAATGGACTGAATTCACTCAAACACTGGTATTACCTCTTGTTGAGGCTAATGAGACATAGGGGGAGATCATGAAAAACATAAAGAGTAAAATAGCCCAGACTAACGCCATACCAAACTGATGCGAAGGCATTTTAAATTTTGAGTCCCGCCCACTTAAGATTGTCCAGTATAGTTTTGCCAATTGATTGTCCTGTTGACTGGGTAGTCCCCATATCTATTTCCTGATCACCAAAATCCCATCCTTGTCACCACATGTAGGAGTTTAAGGGATTTGGGGGCCAATGTAGGAAGAAGATAGGACCATGAGAGGGAAGCAAGAAGCTTTATTGGGTTGACCAAGATTCTCTCCTCCACCAAACTCTGCTCAGGCTCCCCTGAACTCCTTTGCAACTAGGTCTCTACTTTTGGAATTCTGTGTTCATCTCTGCAGTGTCCAGTTTTAGCAAGAATGCTGCTAAGTCAGCTTAGCCAGAATCCCCTATCCTCTACATCTGATCACTCTCGATATCTAATCAGGTTCCTCATCCTTCACCATCCTCCAGGGGACATCTGATCACCTTGGCCTGCCTTCAGTAAGAATCCTGTCAGGGTTTAGTCAGAGCCCCCCTTCCCCCCAATGTTTCCTCAGTAATTTTCTATCCACTGACCCCTACTTTGCTCCTTGGCTATAAATTCTTATTTTCCCATGCTATATTTGGAATTAAACTTGGTTCTATATTTTCTTTTCTTTTTCCTTATTGCAATAGTCCTGAATAAAATCTGTTTTACCACTTTAACTACTGTCCACCTCTGTTTTTTCTATGACAGGGTGGCACTTGGAGAGGGTTGCATGAGAGGGGAAGTTCCTCATAGCATGAGGCCATCCAGAGGCTTATGGCACAGGGGCCATCATGTAGAAAGGGAGGAGGGCATGGGAACCCCTGCAGGGAGAGGAGAATCTGGGAGGGGGCTTACATGTCTAGGTGACGTTGCTCAGTAGCGTGGATGGGAGTCCCTGGGTCAGAGAGCTCTGAACGGGCTTAGCACCTTGGGATCTTATAACCAAAGGCTCTATTTTAACAATGTCAGCAGATGCTGGGTGAGATTTCATGGGGTGTGCAAAGCAGGCAGGCTTTAATTGGCTAAAAAATGCTTGTTTGGGCTATTTTAAAAATAATTGGATGTGTCACAATTTGAGTTTGGCGCCAGTGGGCTTTTGAGCTAGTGGGTCTAAACCTGTAGTGAAGAAATAAACAACCTAGGCGCCAATACACAGAGCCTGTCTGTCACTTAATAACACAAAAGACCTCTACCTTACATTACATATCAAAAGATATTCCTGGAGGCGTAAAGATTGAAAAGGTTTACAAATACTAAAATTTGGAAGAAAATCAGGAAAATATTTTTATATTCTAGGGTTTCAGAAGACTTTTAAAAGGAAGCTAGGAAACTCAGAAACCATTTTTTAAAAAGTATAGACTCATCGGGTTATAAAAAGTTAAATATTTTATACAGATATGATATCATAAACTAAGTTAAAGGAGCAAAATTATGTTATCAATAGATGCATAAAACATTTGATAATGATTAAAAGTTGGTAAAGTGTCTTCATAACCAGACTTAAAAAGGGACTTTATTAACTTGATAAAGGCCACAACTTATAGCAAATAGTTTACCAAGGAAACTTGATAATCATTACTGACCAATCAAGAATGCTTGATTTCCTTCTGACTTTATAACATAGTTTGAAAAGCTCTGAACAAACAAGAAAAAAAGAAATGTTACTATTAGAACAAGAAAAAAATATGCACAAAAGATTTTATTTATACTGAAAGTCCAAAATAATGAGCTAACAACTATTAGGGGTCAGCAAGGTTTCCAGGTAAATGACCCACATAAACAATTATCAACAACCTTCCTCTACATGAGCAGTAATCAATAAAACAATGAAAGGGAAAACTAAAGGCCTAATGAAAGGACTGAATGAATGGAAAGGAGATCTCATAGGCTGCTATAGGCTTCGAGTTAGAAGTATTGTGTCCTGTGTAAGGCAACGTGTAGAAGGGTAGGTATACACGCAGTTAATGAGCATCCTGTCTCTGACTCCTGAGAACCTGGATGGGAGACCCCTTGTCTTAGTCACCTTAGTCCCACCCCCAGACCTCGCCAAATTTAGCTCGCTGGGAATTTGCAATCAAGTCCCGCCCCTCGACCTGGTCCCCACCCTAAGCCACGCCCCTATCCCCGGTCTCGCCCCAGCCCCGCCCCAGCCCCGCCCCTCACACCTAGTCAACCAAGCCCCGCCTCTAGCATGGTCTCTGCCCCGTTCAAACCCAACTCTTGCTCTAGGGACCCACCGTGTGCCTCCGCGGGAGGCAACTAGGATTTCTCCTCCATTCATTGCTGGAAGCAGCCAGCGCCCTGCTTCCCCCCTTCTCCCTTTCTTCCTTAATCCCTATTTCCCCGCTCCTGAGGCCCCGCCCCCTACGCTGTGCGCGGCGCAGAAACCGGAAGCAGGGCCGCTTCTGCGCGTGCGCGAAGCGGCGGCCATATCTCCTCCTTCCCTCGCTCGCGTGTGAGGTGAATTTTCGCCTCCGTGCGCTCCCTGCCCGGCTGGGCCGGGCCCGCCCGGGTTGGGTGCGCGGGAAGCGGAGAGCTCTGCCTTGGGGCTCGGCGGTCAAAGGGCGGCCGACGCCGGAGCCTCGCCCCGCCGCGGCGCTTCCTCAGAGAGCCCCGGCCCGCTCCGTCCGCGGCTGCGGCTCGTCCCGAACTCTCCGAGTCCGCGACTCTGGGCTGGATCCAGCAGTCGGTGAGTCCGCTGCGGGCTGGAGTTGCGGAACCTCCTGCTTATGTTAGTCGGCCTCCAAAAGCATCCTCTGCTCTCTTTCCGGAAGGGAAAAACCTCCCTGCCAGTCGGGTCACGGGGAGAGAGCTCAACCTGGCTGTGGCCGCGCTGTCTGTGAATTTCGGCGTGTTCGGCGAGCGCGGGGTGACATTTGCCTCAGCTCCGTCCCCTCCTCGCCCCTCCTGGTGCGGGAGAGATTATTTAACCTGTGACTTTTACCCTGCCGTTGGGCAGGGTTTGCTACGTTATATTCAGGTGCATAAAGCTGGACTGATTATTTACTATCTTTGTGACCCTCCTCCTTGCTGAATGCAGCTATAATTTTAATCACTTATCTGTAGTTTTTTTGAATTTCACACAAAGTGTGATCATCTGCCAGTTTCAGCGTTTTCTTTTTTTATTCCTTGTACCTGCACTTGCCAGGAACTTCAGTTCAATGTAGAACAGCATGTAATTTGCATCCTTGCCTTGTTCCTGATCCCAGAAAGAATTATTCTACCGTTTCACCATTAAATAGGATGTTTGCTCTAGGTGTTTGTAGATAATATATATATTTTTCTAATTAAAGTCAATTCCCTTTTAGTCCTAGTGGGTTAAATTATCATCACAATGGATATCGATAGGAATAAGTCACTATTTTGTATCTAAGAGGATATGCTCTTTTTCTGTTAATGTGATGAATTATATTAATCTATGATTCCATTTTTAACCCCCTTCCTAGGAGGAAATGAAATTAGTTTGCGATTACTATCCTCATTTTTCATTTCTCGACTGTACTAATATTTTGCACTTATGTGTATGAATGAGAGCTTTCATATTTTTTTTGAGTTGGGCTTTTCTGGTCTTGGAAACACTCAGGAAAAAGTCCTCCCTCCCCCCATAGAATTATGAATCCTTACTTATTTAGTGAACTTACCTGTAAAACAGTTAGTAACTTCTGTTTCTTTTGTGGGCATGATTTAAACTACTGACTTTTTTCTCTAATGACTGGATGTAATCAGATTTGTATTTATTTTAGATCATTGCTGGAAAGTTGTACTTCTCTCTAGAAATTCATCCATTGTGCATTTTCATAACTTGTCTTAATTTTTTTGTTATATGCTCCGTGTAACATCTGTAATTATGACCCATTCATAGCTCTTTTTGTCTTCGCTCTGTTGTTCTTAAAGAAAATTGCTTAGTATTTGTCAATTTCATTAGTTTTCAAAGGACACATTGTTAATTATTCTGATTCTGTTTTTTAAATATTTTAAATATTATTTTGTCTTATTTTCATTTTTGTAAACCTTTATGCTATTATTTTTCCAACCTTTAGGTCAGTGGTTAGCCCGTTGATGCTATTTTTTCTTCTCTGGGAGTTGATGATATTTATAAATATATAAACGTATATACACTCCAGCTGTGGGTTCCCATTATTATCTGAAACAGTTCTTTTAATTTTCTGCTTCTACCCTACCACACAACTAGTCCTGAGACGCTAAAGATAAATTATGTGTGCCTCCTTGTCCCTAAAATGTGCTGCATTTCTGTATGGCATATACCACTACCTGATATATTTTGTTTATTTACTGTCCTCCCTCAAAACAATGTAACATCCACATGCTTCAGAATTATTCTGTTTTGTTTAGCAGTGTACCCCTGTGACTGCATGTGGTACGATCAGGGTAAATATTACCTAAATAGATATGAAATGAAGGAGCCGGAGGTAAGGGCCTTAAGGGAAGCATCCTTGCTCAAGACATAGGGCTTAATCAAGAGGAGCTGCAAAATAAAACATTCGAGTAGAACACTTCATTTGTCTACTCTTTAAAGAGCCCAGCAGAGTTTTAGGCCAGACTGTGGTAATGTTAGGGAATGCGGGCCTCATTAACAACTAAATTCTAAAGTTTATGTTCAGAAATATACTCACTGGGCTTTTACGCTTTGAAGACAGATAGACCTGCATTCACACATCTGTATATGTAAGACATCCTGAGTTACATACATCTCAGCAGCTTTCTAATTGGATAACATTGAGTGTGTGGTTCATTGACTCTTTCTAAGATTTCTCAACTATAAACTGGTTGTAATGATATCTGATTTGCAGAGTTTCTAGGAAATGAATAATCTCTTTGCAAAGGTATGGACATCACTCTGCAAAGTCGTTCTAACATTCATGGTTGCTCAAATGGCACACGTTGTTATTAATATAGCAAAGAATGTTACAGTTTTTATTCGCTTTAAAATACACTGCTTGATCCATTGCAGTGGAAGAAACTGTTGCATTTTTCTTATTTGAAATGTGTGCTACAGTGCTGCGCTGTCACTCTCAGAGATGATACATTTGCTAACTTCAAGTATTCTTTTTCTGCTGCTGCTGTACTGTACAGGCAAAGTTTAACATGAGAATTAGAGCATGCCTCCTGCATGTGGAATTCAGTCAGTTGAGGCTCTTTTCTCAAAAACCGGGTTTCAGGGACTGCAGCCCATGGAGGGGAGGGTCCAATGGTTAGTAGATGAGCATTAAAGCCTGTTAGCCTGCTAAGGGGAGCAGAAGTAAGAAATATTGGGAGGAGAGCTGCCAGAAGTCTGGCATATAAGTCAGTGCTTTCTTAGATTTGAGACAGAATTTATATTCTTACGGTTGAAGGCACTGTCTGATACTTTTTATGCTTTTCCTTATCCTGGGCAAATGGTCAGCTAAACTTTAAGACTTCAGTTAATTTATAAACTGGGACTTTTAACCTCTTTTTTTAATGATCCGCAAGGACCAGAACACTGTTTTCCAGCTCTAGAGGAGAAAAGATTGTTCCACCTTCCTACAAGATCAGTTTCTTTGCTCGTGTGTCTTGTGAGTATGCGTGTACATGTTTGTGTGTGTTTTTTGAGGGGATTGGTCACTCGTAATGGATGTGCTGCATTATCCAGGCTGATGAGTGTGGGAATTGTGGGGAGACGTGGATTCTCATGTCTTCTTTCCGCCCCAGCTCTAACTTCTCAATACCCTGCCTTTGTTCATGAAGGGACCATGGAGGAAGAAAGAACAGCTGCTGAATCACGGAAAAATATGGTAAGTAAGAGCTGATAATTCTCCAAAAGAGTATTTCCATTCTGCCAGGTCATCGATCTCCTAGTTCCATAGAGCAGGATCAGCAGCCTGTTTCTGTATTGGGCCATGTGGTAAGTATGTTAGGATTTGGAGAGCAGAGTTTCTATTGTAACTCAACTCTGCCATTTTACTGTGAAAGCAGCCATAGACATTATAGGAACAAATCTTTTATTGTGTTCCAATAAAACCTCACTTACACAGTTGGGTGGTGGGCTGGCTTTAGCCCCTGTGCTGGAGTTTGCAGACACCCGACCAAGAGTGTAAGGAAACATGGCCAACTGTGGGCCTAGGTAGAAAGTGATGCTTCTGCGGGCTCCTGGGCCTCAGGTTTGTCGGGGGAAAAACAGAAAGAAAAGCTCCCTGTCCCTCAGTGTTTTTATTCATTAAAACCTTATCCAGATTTGATCCAGTGTTTCACTGTTCTTGCTATGAGGGGAGAGAAGTAAGCAGGTGAAATCGTTTCTGTAACAAGGATGGCTGGTGTCAACATGGAAATTATTTCATTTCTAGAGTGGTTCTCGTTTCTGCTATATGCTCTGGACTGTTCTGGATCATTAGGAGACTGGAATTAGTCACCATCAAACTGTGGAGAGATCAGTTTAGTGTTTTAGAAGTGTTAAGTCCGTGAGACAGGATTTGATCAGTCAGGAAAGGATGTGTGCATAGAAAGAGAGAGAGATCTGATGACTAAGTCCTTGGTAAGATGTTGGAAGACCATAAAATCTTCAGAACTACCTATGAATTTATCCTGAGTTCCCCAATGTTATCAGCCTCATCATGAACACATTGGGGGAGTTGGAGCCTTTCTGAAAAGAAAATATGCGATGTTTTAGGACTCAGTGGTCTTTGAGGATGTGGCTGTGGACTTCACTCAGGAGGAGTGGGATTTGCTGAATCTTGCTCAGAGGAACCTCTACAGAGATGTGATGCTGGAAAACTTGCAGAACCTGGCCTCACTAGGTAAGAATGACAACATTCCTTCATTTAGTTGTTTAGAAAACAGTTTTATTAATTGACTTTGTTTTAGGATTTAGGCTGTGGAATTGGAATACATTGGTAGATAAGACAGACGTAATCACTGACCCCAAAGAGTTTATAGTCTAGGAGCTTCACCATGAAAATAAACATCTGTGTATTGAACTCACGTTTCCTTTTTCTTGTGGTTGAAAGCCTCAAGGCTTGTTAAATATTGAAAGTGTGGGTCACTTTGGGGCACAGGGAGGTTTGTAGTTTGGGACCTTTTGAGAATTTTACTGACATCAATGCCCTTTATTCAAAGACCACCAGGAACATACTATAGTTAACAAGTGGAGTTTATTACTCAGTGCATTGAGGGGGAACACTCATGCCATGGGGAGCTGTGGAGTGTCTCAGTAAGAGGGTGTAAGAAAGTCTATATTATAGGATTTGTACTTTGGTTGGGTAATTTGGGGGTGGGTCTGTGGAAGCAGACTGTCTTAGTTTCCTAGGCTTTCCATAACAAAGTACCATGAACTGGGTGGCTAAAAACAACAGAAACTTATTCTTTCATGTTTCTGGAGGCTTGAAGTCTCAAGTCAAGGTGTCATTAGGGCCATTACTCCTTCTGAAGGCCCAATGGAAAAAAAAAATCCGTTCTTGTCTCTTCCTAGCTTCTGGTGTTGCCAGCAAACCTTGGTGTTCTTTAGCTTGCAGCTGTACCACTCTGAACTCTGCCTCCATTTTCATATGGCCACCTTTCTTCTGTCTCTGAGTCTTTCTCTCTCCTTATAAGGACACCAGTGATTGGATTTAAGGCCCACCATAATCCAGTATAACTTCATCTTAACTTGATTGTATCTTTAAAGATCTTATTTCCAAATAAAGCAACATTTTGAGGTTCTAGGTGGATGTTAAATTTTTTTTAGTACACTTAATTTTTTTAGAGCAGTTTTAGGTTCACAACAACATTGAGTTGAAGGTACAGAGATTTCCGATTATATCCACTGTGTGCATATATACATAGCCTCCCACCCTATCAACATCCCCCACCAGAGTGGTATATTTATCGTAATTGGTGAACCTGAATTGACAACATCATCATCACCCAGAGTCCATAGTTTACATTAGGGTTCTGTCTTGGCGTTGTACATTCTCTGGTTTGGTCAAATATGTAATGATGTGTATCCACCATTATGGTATCATATAGAGTAGTTTCACCGCCCTAGAAATCCTCTGTGACCTGCCAGTTCGTCCCTTCTTCCTTCCTAACTGGTGACAACCGTTTATCTTTTTACTGTCTCCATAGTTTTGCCTTTTCCAGAATGCCATGTAGTTGGAATTATATAGTGTATAGACTTTTCAGATTGGCTTCTTTCGCTTGGTAATATGCATGTAAGTTTCTTCCATGTCTTTTCGTGGCTTGATAGCTCATTTCTTTTTAGTGCTGAATAATATTTCATTGTCTGGATGTACCACACTTTATCCATTCACTCACTGAGGGGCATCTTGATTCCATCAAAATTTTGGCAATTATGAAGAAAGCTGCTATAAACGAGGATGTACAGGTTTTTGTGTGGACATGTTTTCAACTCCTTTGGGTAAATTCCAAGGAGTGTGATTGCCTGATTGTATGGTAAGATTAGTTTTGTAGGAAACTGCCAAACTGTCTTCCAAAATGGCTGTGTCATTTTGCATTCCTCCCATCAATGAATGAGAGTTCCTGTTGTTCCATGTCCTTGCCGGCATTTGGTGATGTCTGTATTCTGGATTTTCACTGTTCTCATAGGTGTGTAGTGGTATCTTGTCATTTTAATTTATATTTTCCTGATGATATGTGATGTGGAGCATCTTTTCATATGCTCATTTGCCATTTGTATATCTTCTTTGATCAGGAATCTGTCAGAGTCTTTGGCCCATTTTTTAAACAGGTTGTTTGTTTTCTTATTATTGAGTTTGAGGAGTTTTTTTATATGTTTTGGATAGCAATTCTTTATCAGATGTGTCTTTTGCAGATGTTTTCTCCCAGTCTGTGTCTCCTCTTTTCATTCTCTTGATAGTATCTTTGGCAGAGCCAAAACTTTTAATTTTAGTGAAGTCCAGCTTGTCAATTCTTTTCTTCATGGATTGTGCCTTTGGTGTTGTATCTAACAAGTCATCACCAAACACCAGGTCATCTAGATTTTTTCCTGTGTTATCTTTTAGGAGTTTCATCGTTTTGTGTTTTACTTTTAGGTCTGTGATCCATTTTGAGTTAATTTTTCTGAAGAGTGTAAGGTCTGTGTCTAGATTTATTTTTTTGCATGTTGATGTCTAGTTCCAGTCTTTGTTGAAAGGATGGTCTTTTTTCCACGTATTTCCTTTGCTCCTTTGTCGAAGATCAGTTGACTGTATTTATGTGGGTCTGATTCTGGACCCCCTATTTTGTTGCATTGATCTATTTGGACCTGAATTTTTGAGGGACACTGTTCAACCCAATCCACAGGTGGTCATTTTAGATTAGATGTTGACAGAAAGTGGGGGAAATTCTATTATTCAGTCTTTTGTGGGTGGCACAGTAATTTTTTTTTTTCTGTCCTTAGACTAAATTGTAAAGTTACCTTGTTTTGTTTCATTTTATCATGGTTTCAGAGTAACTTTGTCTAAGATTGGTTTTCTGTGAGGTTATTTTTGTTCAACAGAAGAACAAAATTTCCTGACTGTAAGTATCAGACTTGCTTCTAATATATTGAGGTTTAGATGGGAATGTCAGATCAGTTCTAGACGTGAGAGGCTGTGTCTTCCCTATACATCTACCTCCACTTAAAAAAAAAATAAATCAACATTTTGTTGCAGTTAGATTCACATTTGCCCATCTTTAGAGGATCAGAAGACCAAAGTTTTGGCCCTCTCTCATGGAAATGTTTGTGGTTTCTTGCTTTTTCCCCTCGTGATATGCCTTTCTGCATTGACAGGATATCCACTGCACACACCCTGTTTGATCTCCCATTGGAAACAAGAGGAGGACCTGGAGAGAGTGAAGAGAGGACCTATCCAGGGGGAGCATCAGGAAGGCAAGAATCCTTGGGAGAAACTCTCCTGGTTGGGGAATATTACATTTGGAAAAATCATATAAAAGCAGAACAAAGCTTTGTTTTGTCTGAGGAGGCCAGTCTTCCACAGATACTTTAGATTGCTATTTTGACTTTTTATCACTCCTTTCACTTTTTCTTGAGAAAGACCTTCCATATGTCGTCTTTGTAAGTTAGTGTTTAGTCATGTGCATTTTATCCAGTTCCCTTCTGTTTTGCTCTCCTGGTAATACCCTATTTATATTACCATCAGTCTCAATCACCATGAAATTATTTCTTCATCAGTTGCTTACCATTTTGACCCTTGTGCTCATTACCAAAGTCCTTAAATAGCCAAACTGCCAAAAATCCTTTGTTTATAAGTGTATTTCCTTTTTTGTTTTAGGTTTTGAGACCCAACTTAAAACTAATGAATCAGTCACTCCACAAAATATTTATGGAGAAAAAACATCCAAGGAACAGAAAACAGTAAGATTCAAAAGGAATGATTCCTGGTCATCCATTTTGCACAAAAACTGGGAATACCATGCTATTGATTATCTGAACAAAAATCATGAGAGACATTTGAGGTGAGTGCCACTCATACAAGAGAAAGTAGTGTCTCAGGAGAGAATCATAAAATGTCATGAAATTTAAAAAACGTATTTAAAACTTGGTCAGAAATTGTGATTTCATAAAGAATTTTCACAAGGTATTTTTTCCCACAAATGAGACTAATATCTTCAATGTTTGACACTTAATTCAGTTGTAAGCAATTATCAGAAAAATCATCTAAGTCAAAAACTCAGTGATAATATTGGCTTTTGTAGAGCCCTCTATGAGAACTTTCAGTTTACAACTTGACAGGGCAGAAAACATATATAGTTACTAAAACTGGTAAAAGTATATTACTAATAATGTGCCTTTTATTTTTAAAAGAAGTCATGTGGTCGAGAACATCTATGAATGCAATGAAGAAAATCAGTGTGGACAAACCTTCAGCCAAATTCCAAATCTTAATATACTCAAGAGAACTGAAGTAAAATCCTATGAATGCCATGAGTGTAAAAAGGCCTTCACAGATCATTCATCCCTTAAGAATCACATCAGGTCTCACACTGGAAGCAAACCCTATCAATGTAAGGAATGTGGGAAAGCTTTCCATTTTCTCGCTTGTTTTAAGAAACATGTGAAAACTCCCACTGAAGAGAAACCCTATGAATGTAAAGAATGTACCAAAGCCTTCAGTTGTTCTTCATTCTATCGGGCACATATGAAGATTCACACCGGAAAGACAAATTATGAATGTAAAGAATGTGGGAAAACCTTTAGCTGTTCTTCGTCCCTCACAGAACACAAAAGAATTCATAGTGGAGATAAGCCTTATGAATGTAAGGAATGTGGGAAGGCCTTTAGTTGTTCCTCCTCACTCTCCAAACACAAAAGAATTCATAGTGGAGATAAGCCATATGAATGTAAGGAGTGTGGGAAGGCCTTTAGTTCTTCCTCTCATCTTATAATACATATAAGAATTCATACTGGAGAGAAGCCTTATGAATGTAAAGAGTGTGGGAAGGCCTTCAGCGAGTCCTCAAAACTCACTGTACATGTCCGAACACATACAGGAGAGAAACCCTACAAATGTAAGGAATGTGGGAAAGCCTACAACTGTCCCTCCTCATTAAGTATCCATATGAGAAAACACACTGGAGAGAAACCCTACGAATGTCTGGAGTGTGGAAAAGCCTTTTATCTCCCTACTTCCCTTAATACGCATGTGAAAAATCAAAGTAGAGAGAAACCCTATGAGTGTAAGGAATGTGGAAAAGCATTTAGTTGTCCTTCATCCTTTAGAGCACATGTGAAAGATCACACTGGAAAGATACAATATGAATGTAAGGAATGTGGGAAGGCCTTTAGTCGTTCCTCATCCCTCACTGAACACTTGAGAACTCACAGTGGAGAGAAGCCTTATGAATGTAAGGAATGTGGGAAAGCGTTTATTAGTTCCTCCCACCTTACAGTACATATAAGAACTCACACTGGAGAGAAACCTTATGAATGTAAGAAATGTGGGAAAGCCTTTATTTATCCTTCAGCCCTTAGGATCCATATGAGAACACACACTGGGGAGAAACCCTATGAATGTAAGGAATGTGGGAAAGCCTTTCGCCATTCTTCATACCTTACTGTACATGCAAGAATGCACACCGGAGAGAAACCCTTTGAATGTCTGGAATGTGGGAAAGCCTTCAGTTGTCCCTCATCCTTTCGAAGACATGTCAGAAGCCACACTGGAGAGAAACCGTATGAATGTAAGGAATGTGGGAAAGCCTTTGTTTGTCCTGCCTACTTTCGAAGACATCTGAAAACTCACTCTAGAGAAAACATGTAAGGAATATGGGAATGTCTGCAAAACTTTTTCAAACCTTAGGTAACATGTGAGATCTCACACTGTGGAGACACCCTATGAATGTAAGAGAGTAGGAAATTGTCGTTCATCTTCTTGAAGACTTTGGAGAACTTACAACTGAGAGGAACCCTGTGTATGTAAACCATGTGGTGATGCCTTCGTGAACATCTCTTACTGTGTGTAAGAAAATTCATACTAGAAGCAAAGACCAGTGCCTCATCCTTAAAGTGGACTGCTGGCTCATTGATTTTCAGTTTTTATTTTCTGATATGAATATTTAAGGTGATAAATTTCCCTCTAATACCTTTTCAGCTCCAGCCACATATGTTTTATTATAGAGTGCCTTTATTTTGGTTCAGATGTAAATGTTATTTCCATTACAAAGTCTTTTGGACCCATGGGGCATTTGAAATATATTTTTTCATATGTAGGCAAGAGTGGTCCTTTTTAAATTTAGCTTCTAATTGATTCTTATTGTGTCCGGTGATTATGATGTGACACTTTGGTATTTGTAATTACTTTTTCATCTAGTATGGCAGTTACTGAAAATTGCCTACCCAGTATTTTTTCCCCTTCTTATTAGTAAGAGAACTTAAAGTTTTTGAGGTTATCAGCTTTTACTATTGAAAGCTTTTCCTGTCTAATAAGTAATTTCAGCAGAGGTTAATAGTGCAAAGGTCTTGAAAGAAGAGTCTCATCTGATAAGCTGTTTTTGTATTTTGTTATTTGTCCTTGCTTGTGGCTGGGAATTGGACCCAATGTTTGAGTTTTAAAAAAAGACCTTGTGACAAGAATGCTAGAAGTGAAGTTGGTTGGGCTGGCTTAACTTGTGTTAATTTGGGCATGGCTGGGACTACATTTCCCAGAATCACTTCCTTATCCAGTTCCAGATTAGACAATTGGAAGGCAGAGGGAAGAAGTTGTTGAGTGGGGCCATGAGACAGGGAGACAGATGCATAGGGGGCCTGGTGGGCTCCAGTTTCCAGCTCATTTTCCTCATTATTGGACCCCACTGATCAATACAACAGGACATAAGTGCTTGGCTTTAGTTACCTCAGAGGCAACGGCTCCATTGACATCTCTAAATTAGTCCATCATGGGCATACACAACTTCTTGGATTATCTGGCAAGTTCTAGCATTGTCATTTTGCTGATATTACAGTCCTTTTGGCACATCAACTGACTCAAGAGTTGGCCTCAGTTTGGAGCAAGTACTGGTGTCATCTATGTAGTCCAATCCCATCATGTCACTTTGCTCATAGGGAAATACGCATCTATACAAGCCCACTTTGAACTCAAAAAGGCAGGGAGAAGAGCTGTGGAGAATGAGGAAAATTAAGTATAATTGAGGTAAGCATCAGACAGGGTGTCATCTCATTTCAGTGCAGGAAGATTTATATTTGATACCTTCAAAGAGGGAAGATTTTATTACTTTTTTAATTCAAGAAGATGAAAGCTATTTGGTTTGCCCTGCTTCAGGTGCATCTAGCTACACTTTTTCCTTCCATTATGTTTTCCCTTTACTTCTAAAAATATAGTTTACCGCTTCCCTTTAAACACCTTTTACTGTTTTATTAAGGCATGCATACACTAATATGCATGCAGTGTGCTAATCGTAAATGTGCAGCTTGATGAAATTTCACATATGCGTACACCCTGATAAGCATAGAACATTTCCACAACTCCGCAAACTTCATTCATCTGCCTTCTCAATAATTGTTCCATAGAGGCAACCACAATTTTGGCTTTTATTATAATTTATTATAATAATTTATTAGGTTTGGTTGTTCACTATATTCATATAAATATTAAAATACAATATGTACAGTTAAGTGTTTGGCTTTTCTCAACATTAAGTTTAGTTTGCCTTTTAGTGTCTTTTGACAGACTTAGACACTTATTACTCTTGGTGTATGCTTTGTATGTAGGAATGAGATTACTGAATCATAGGGTAGACCTTATATTTATTTTGGTAGGTATTCTGATTTTTCAGAAAGTTTGGTTCCACCTATAATCCTAAAAGCAATACGTGAAAGTCCTAATTGTTCCACACACCTGGCCACCACTTTTTAATTTGGCAGAGGATGGGGTAATGTTTTTGGGTTTGATTTGCATTTGCCTGGTATGTAATGGTGAATACTTCTTTATGTGCTTATTGGCTGTTTGGATATCTTTAATGAGGGCACCTGTTAAGCATTTTACCCATTTTTGGTTCCTTTTTCATTTGAAGGGTTTCCTTCTGGTTACTTGTCTTTTATTGTATGTATGTGTTTCTCTATATCTAATTACATACACATATGTATGTATAAACTCTGTGTTATATATTATATATACATAAATTATAATACGTATATTATATATACATATACTGCAGATAACTTTTCTCAATCTCTGGCTTATCTTTTCATTTTTGTAAGCTATAAAGGGAATTTGTTGGTTTGATTTCTGAAAACTTCTTAGGTATGACTAGTTTCAAGCATGTTTAGATCCTCTGGCTAAAAAGATGTTTTCTGGATGAGTTCTGTCTCCATGTCTTGGTTGTGCATGTTCTTGTATTAGTTATTCTTGGTGGCAGGCTAACTCTCTTTATAGTGGCCCCAGAAGATCCAGGCTGCTTTCTTTCCAGGTTGAGGTCTCAGGGAGAAGAGAGTGACTGCCTTTTTGAACAATTCCAATATGATTGTTAGAATTGAATTTGATTGGCTCACTTGCCAACCATTATCCAATCACTCTGGCCAGAAGAATGTAATCCGCTGACTTGTTTAGGACTGGCTCCCATGCTCATCTGGAAACCACAGTAGAGTCTGCACCAACTGAATCATAAGAGTTCTGACAGTTGTCATGTATATGGAGAGGTGGGGAGGAGGCAGCAGTGTGCAGAGGAGATCTAGAAATAGAAGTAGTAGTACTGTGAACTAGCACATTGTGCTTATGCTGGGCTTAGCATTGGGAGGGAACTGTGAAGTCTGGGAACTCAGCCAGGACTAAGTAGTTTTATAGGTCCTTTCAGAAAGGTTAGATGTCATCTGTTAACATGTCTTTGGATCGCTAAAGATGGCTTCTCAGTGTTTATGTTGCTGTCTAGTGTTTTTGGAAATCTGGTAACAAGAGCCTTCTGTTTCCTTCTTCAAAATTGTCTTGCCTTTTCCATTCCCCATTTGTTTCTATATTAATTTTAAAATCTCCGTATCAGTTTTCACAGATAAATCTTCTGGGACTATGCTTGGAATTTAATTAACTTCATAAAGTAATCTGAATAAAATTTAACATCTTTACAATATTGAGTCTTTCAATTGATGAACATAATGTAATATGTCCATTTACCTAGGTCATCTTTAATTTCTCTTAACAGTGTTTTGTAGTTTTAATTGTAGAGGTCTTGAATACCTTTGTTTAGTTTATTTCTAGATATGTGGTATATTTTGCTTTATAAATATTTACTTTTTCAATTTTTTGGGCTAGCACATAGAATTGCAATTGATTTTATGCATTGATCTTTTATCCAGTGATGTTTTTAAATCCAATTATTTATTCAAATAGTTTACAGATAATTTTGGATTTTCTGTGTATACAATCCTGTCAATACCAATAAAAGAAAGTCTTACTTGATTTCTAAACTTAATCTTTTATTTTTCTTGCCTCATTGCTTTACATTGATGAATAGAAATGATGAAAATGAACATTTTTGCCTTGTTCCTGTCTTACGGGAAAGTGTTCCATATTTCACCGTTAAGTATAATAATAGCTGTAAGTTTGTTATAGATAAGCTTTATCAAATGAAAGGAATTCCATTTTAGTCCCAGATTGCCAAGATTTTTTAAAATCCTGAATGGATACTGAATTTTATGCAGTGCCTTTTCTGCGTGTATCAGGTTCTTAAAAAAATCCTTTAGTCTGTTAATATGGTGAGTTACTATATTCCTTGATTTTTAAATGGTGAAACAATATCTATTCCTGGAATAAACCACACCTGACATAGTATGTATTAGCTTATTAGCTTTTTAATTTGGTAGATTCAATATGCTACTTTAGAAAGATTATTTCTGGGCCTGGCCCCATGGCCTAGTGGTTCAAGTTCCATGTGCTCTGCTTCAGTGGCCTGGGTTTGTGGCTTCAGCTCCCAGGTGCAGACCTACTCTGCTTGTCAGTGTTGTTATGGAGGCATCCCACATACAAAAAGTAGAGAAAGATTGGCCTGGATGTTAGCTCAGGCCTAATCTTCCTTAAGGAAAAAAAAGAGGATTGGCAACAGATATTAGCTTAGGAGGAATCTTACTAAAAAAATAAAAATAATAAAGTTATTTCTGTGTCTGTGTTAATGAGAGGTTTGTCTTGTAATTTCTTTTATTTTAATATGCTCGTCTAAGTCTTCTGTCAGGTTTATGCTGCCTCATAAAAGGAGTTGGAAATTGTTCTGAAAGACTATATAAAGTTTGAACTATCTATTCCTTATATGTTTGGAATAATTCACCAGTGCATCTGTCTTTGGGTTTTCTTCACACAATGCTTTTGCAACATAGTTTCACTGGTGAATTATACCAAACATATAAATAGATTTAAAAAAGTCTTCAAATTTTCTAGTTGTTCTTGTGTTAGTTTTGCTAAATTGTATCTGTCCATTCCATAATTTGGAATTTGTTGGCATAAAGTTGTTCATAATATCCTCTAATTTCTTATTAATGTCTGAAAGCTGTAATTATATCCACTTTTTCGTTCCTGATATTGGTAATTTATGTGTTCTCTTTTTCTTCATCATGGTAGGAATTTAGATACATTAATTTTTTTGAAGAACCAGCTTTCAATTTATTTTATTCTGCTTTCTCATTCTTTAATTTCTAGTCTTATCCCCTTTTATTATATTTAGGTTTAATGTCCTCTTCTTTTTCTGGCTATTTGAGATAGACACTTGTATCAGTGCCTGTCTTCTACTATGTCCAGTCTGCTTATGAACCCATCCAATCAGAACTTTCTACTTTTTTTTTTTTTTTTTACTTTTTTTCCTTTTTCTTCCCAAAGCCCCCGGTACATAGTTGTATATTTTAGTTGTGGGTCCTTCTAGTTGTGGCATGTGGGATGCCACCTCATCGTGGCTTGATGAGCAGTGCCATGTCCATGCCCAGGATTCGAACCAACGAAACACCGGGCTGCCTGCAGCGGAGCATGCGAACTTGACCACTTGGTCATGGGGCCGGCCCCAGAACTTTCTACTCTTAATTATAAGTAGCAATGCCTTTGAGATATGTGCAGAAAAACCCCTTTTACGTGCCTGTTATCTTCAGGTCATGTGGTTTCCTTGGTAGAATGGAAAGAAAACTGGATTGGGAATCGAGACCCGATTTCTAGTCTTCACTTTTCAACTCATTACCTCTGTGATCTTAGAAAAGTCATTTAGGGGCCAGCCTGGTGGCACAGCGGTTAAGTTCGCACATTCTGCTTCAGTGGCCCGGGGTTCACCGGTTCAGATCTTGGGTGTGGACATGGCACCGCTTGGCAAGCCGTGCTGTGGTAGGCATTCCACATATAAAGTAGAGGAAGATGGGCATGGATGTTAGCTCAGGGCCAGTCTTCCTCAGCAAAAAGAGGAAGATTGACAGCAGATGTTAGCTCAGGGCTAATCTTCCCCCTCCCCCCCCCAAAAAAAAAGTCATTTAAGCTTTCTGGTCCTTCATTTTGCCGGGGGAAGGCTGTGTTTAAACTCTTTATTATGAAATAATAGATTCAGTCTAGGCTGTGAAAAAATATGTACAAGAAAGTCCCATGTATCCACCCAGTTTCCCCCATTGGGAATCTACAGAGCTTATTCAGATTTCACCAATTTTAAATGTGTGTGTTTTTCTTTGCAGTTTTAGCACATGTAGATTAATGGAATCGCTACCACAATCAAGATACAGAACTGTTGCATCACCAGAAGAGAACTCTCTTAGGCTGCATCTTTGTATTCACCCTCAAACCTCTCCATCATTAGCCCTGAAAATCACTATCTGTTCTCCATCTCTGTAGTTTTATTTCAAGAATGTTATATAAGTAGAATCATACAGTATGTAACCTTCTGAGAGATTTTTTTTTTCACTCAGCATAATATCCTTAAGATCCATCCAAACTGTTGCATGTAGCTGTGTTCTTTTTTATTGCTAAGATGTGAGCAGTAGGTTCTTTGGAAATGCTCTTCATCAAATTAAGTTCCCCTCTTCCTAGTTTGCTGAGATTTATAAAAGTCATGACTAAGTTTGGGATTTTGTCAGATGCTTTTTCTGCATCAATTGATAGATCATAGCCTGTTCATGTGGAGGATTACATTGGTTTTCAAATAATGAACCAGCCTTGCATGTCTGGAATACATCTCCAGTTGTGTAATTCCTTTTATACATCACTGGATTCAATTTACTAATATTTTGTTGAGGATTTTTGTGTCTAAGTTCATGAGAGATACTGGTCTGTAATTTTCTTTTTTGTACTGTCTTTGGCTGGTTTTGAAATTAGGGTAATACTGCCTTTGCAAAGTGAGTTGGAAAGTGTTCCCTCCTGTTGTCTGGAAGAGATTATGTAAAACCGGTGCTAATTCTTTTTTATATATTTGGTAAAATTTTTCAGTGAAACCATCTAGGGCTGGAGATTTCCTTTGGGGAAGTTTTAAAATTACTAATTCAATGTCTTTAATGGTTACAGGACTATTCAGATTATCTGTTTCGTCATTGTTGAGTTTTGGTAGTTTGTGGTTTTTGAGTAATTGGTCCATTCTTTTTTTTTTTTTTCTGCTTTATCTCCCCACATCCCCCCTGGTATATAGTTGTATATCTTAGCCGCAGGCCTCTCTAGTTGTGGCATATGGGACGCCACCTCAACGTGGCCTGACGAGCGGTGCCATGTCTGTGCCCAGGATCCGAACCAGCGAAACCCTGGGCCGCCACAGTGGAGGGCTCGAACTTAACCACTTGGCCACGGGGCCGGCCCCGGTCCATTCTTTTTTTTAAGTAGTCAAATTTATGAGTGTAATGTTATTCCTGGTATTCTCTTATTAACCATTTAATGACTGCAAGATCTGTACTGATATCTACCACTTGTTTCATTCCTGATATTGGTATTTTCTGTCTTCTTATCTTTGTCAGTCTTGGTAGGGCTTTATTAATTGATTTATTGTTGAGTTTTTCAAAGAGCCAGGTTTCTCTTCCATTGAGTTTCTCTATTTTCCTATTTTCAATTTTATAGATTTCTGTTCTTATATTTGTTATTTCCTTCTTTCTGCTAGCTTTGGGATTTTTGCTTTTCCTTTTCTAGTTTTTTTAAGACAGGAACTTGGAATATTGATTTGAGATCTCCTTTTCTAATGAGAACATTTAGTGCTAGGTTGCATCCCACATATTTTGATATGTTACAATTTTATTTTCACTTAATTCGATGTATTTTAAAAATTTCCTTTCAGACTTCCTTGTTGACTCATGAATTATTTAGAATGTTTGGACATTGTCCTGTTTTTCTGTTATTGATTTCTACTTAGATTCCATTATGGACAGGCAGCATATTTGTGATTCCAACTCATTTTAAAAACAACAAAAAAATCTAGAGGCAAGAATAGGAGGATATAAACAGAATACATTAGGAACTTTGAAAATTAAAAATGGTTATTGAAATAAAAAAATGAAAGTTTTTTTTTCTTTTTAAACTCCAGAGTTATGAGATTGAAGAGGAAATTATTAATTTGAAGACAGATATACAAAGATATAAAGCATGATAGAGCAGTTATGAGACCTGTAGGATAGATCAAGAGGTGCAATAGAGCGTGTCTAATGGCTTCCCAGAAGAAATAAGGATGAGATGGCATAGAAACATTATTTCAAGAGTAATGTCCAAGAATTTTCTGTCATTGAAGAAAGACACCAATTCTTAGATAGAAATATGAGTGTCAAGCAGAAAGGAAAACACCAATGAAGTGCCTTCTACATCCAGGTGCTCTACTAAGTGCTGAGGATACAGGAGGGAACAAATCAAAGAAAAATCACTGCCCACGTGGAATTTACATTCTAGTGAAAGCAGTAGTCAATAGGTAAAACAAAAGCTTTAAGGAAAAGTATACTAGGGAGGGGAGTAGAGAAGACTTGAGAGGCTACAATTTTAAATTGAGTGATTCAGAAATTGAGAAATGGAGATTTGAACTAAATCCTGATGGATGTGAGAAAGGGAACCAGGTAGATATTGTGGAATACAGGTACAGGTAGAGCAAGCAGCAGGGGCAAACGGCTCGAGGCGGGATGTCCCTGGTGTGCTCCAAGAGTTGTGACATTGGAATATTTTGTGGAAATTATGCATACAAAACTTTAAGAACCAAAGGCCACCTGTGACACTGCCCAAACCTTCAGATAAATTATCTGTTCCTCAAAACTTTGGATGTATTAGATTGAGTAAAACTTGATAGCAGTGGTTCTGAGTCGCTAATACTTTGAGACTCTGATGAGGCATATGGACCAGAAGGTCCATAATGCATAACGCAGGCACACATAATTGTGACTATATTTTGTGAAGGTTCTCAAAGCTCCTGTAATTCCATACCTGGAATCCAATTTGAGAGACTGAATGCAGAGGTGAGAGGCTTGTGATACATGTAGGCTGCCTCTGGACAAGATAAAG